GTATTTCACAATACCATTGATTCGAAGTGAACAGATAAAGCAGTATCAGCAGACATACTTCAGCCTTTATAGTAAGTCAAAAAAAGGTGGTTATCATGCTACGCTATGAGAATGTACACATTATTCATAAAAACGAGGTGGGTATGCCACAGAGCGATTCTGTACAAAGCTTTTTTGATCCCCTTGCTCTGGTCACACCTGATACACCATCACAGTAACGAGGCCCATCTGGCCTTCATCTGCGACATTATTTCCTTAGGGTGTGTTAGGAAGCAGTGAAGGGACCCCAGCTGACGTTGCAGGTGCTCTGTGTGTTGCAGGCACAGAGAAAGAGCAGAGGAGAATGCAGCTGACACACTGATAAAAGCAAGGGAAAGAAAGATTTCTCAGTCATTGCTGTCCATACCGGCAAGAGATGCCCATGGAGATGGATTAACACGGGTGGTATCAAGCAGTGAGTCTGGGTGAGCCAAACACTCACTGCATCACCTCAAACCCCACTGTGCTCCCAACTGTCAATTCATTAGATCTCTCCACTCCTTCCACTAAACCAAATTATCCTGTGATGTATTTCCAGGGTTTGGATCCAGTGTCACAGAATTCAGAGGAAAAGACTCTTTCCCACAGACTTCAGTTAGCTTTGGAAGAGGCCCCAGACACACTATCCTGATCTAATTTAATCACTGTAAGCACGGGGCCCCCCAGATTGCTCACACTCAGCAGTGCCCCAGCACTCCTCTGGCTGCCACCAGCAGTGGTTCTCTCTCAGCACTCATTTCTCACCCACCAGGGATGGATGGCTCTGCCCGCTGATTTCCCTGCTGCAGCATCCTGCCTCAGTCACACCAGTGGTTTAACTTCTGCTATTAAAGCCAAGCCACAGAGCTCCCTATGAGAAGCTTGTTTTCCAGAGCAGGAGAGCAGGGCAATTTCATAGAATCACTGAATGGCCAGGGTTGGAAGGGACCTCAAGGATCATGAATCTCCAACCCCCTGCCACACGCAGGGCCACCA